AGATCAATTGAAAAATAGGCCATGAATGAAGAAGTAGTGGGCCTTTCACCCTCTTTCTAGTGACTCGAGGAGTTGATCTGATAAATGCACTTCAAAGGGAGAGAATTTACATTACCATGTTGGTATGGCCAAGCATAAAAGATTTTGAAATTAGGTAAAAAAGAAGAGGTAGAGACTGAGAGCAAGCAACCTCCTTTATTACACGTTCGGGATCTTCAAATGTATGTCGTAAGTAATGTTCGAAATCGGATGAGTTTTCTTCTCTTTCAAACTTCCCGAAGCGAAAGCCTTTTAACCATAGTTGGAATTTCCTCTATATCTATAGGGATTCACAGTTAATCATTCCCGTGTGTACAATCAAATTCTTTCTCTCTGTCTCTGCATTTAGCTCCAGAAAGATTGTCGTTAAAGTGATCAAGACCAAAAGCTAGGAGCGAGTGCGAAAATGCGTAGCATCAATCGGTGTGACTACTCTTCTAAAGCTATAGCTTGAGGTCAAAATCTTTGTATACAACTCCGAGAGAGGGGGTGATTTAGATTTCCATAGTGAGCCGAAGGAGTACCTCTTACTCTTGATTTCACTGTGACTTTGGAGTGTGTTGCGTGAACTACATCAAGGGAAGGCAGACCAAAACCTCACTTCAGTGGCTTGTAGACTTGCTGACGAAAGCTCTTTCTTGCACTCAAGGGTGGTTGGGTTAAGATTAAGAGTTATTCAAAATATCCTGATTTTAGAATGAGAAAGTATAGCACTTCCTACAAGATCTCAGTTTGCTTTCGCCAGATACCTCTTTATCTTAATGAAAAGACCTTTTTTTGTCGGGTCAGGTCCCTACCTATACCTATCCCCCTTGTTGATGAATCTTTTGTATCGAACGAAAGCCTCATATCCTCTAGCAGAAGCCTTATCACGTGGAGTTGGCTCTTCCATAAAGAGCAGAATAGACAGTACAGGTTCGACAGGAGCAAAGAATAGCCCTGCCCACCTTATGAAAGAAACCGAATCCTCAATCTTTTCTCTCTCTAGATCGGGTCGAAAAACTCATAGATTCAGAAAGAAAGATTAGGCCGCTAAGGAAGGTTAAACCGCTTTATAGAAGCCGCTGTTGAAGTTTTAAAAAGAACAAAACTCCTCTTATTTATTGATTGCACTTGATTTTGATTTTAAGAAAGAGTGTTCCTTGCTTGTTACCTAGTCAACTGGTCAATCTGTTGAACAGGCATAAAGAAGTCAATCAGAACAGGGCGACCGATCAAGACTCTTTCAAGCTAACCTTGGTCTGCTTCTTCATTGAACAAAAGTGAGGTATTCATGGACCAGCCTTCAGGAAAAAGAACTTTGTCCTATGAACTTTCTAGGCCTGTACTAAAAGTGATTGTCCAACCCCTCATGTAGGTAACCCTAGAACCTCGCTAATAACTTATTCCAAGACCTGAAAAAAGAAATCGATCGATGTTCTTCCGTGAACCTACTGTCCACATCCCCCATATATATAAATGCGGAAGAGAAAAACTTTAGAATAATCATTCTAGTCTAGCTCTAGACGAATACGATATAGAACTGGATTGACCAGATAGCTCAACCCTCATACCATAGTATGCCACTCGTGGTCAGAAGAGAGCCCAGAGCGAACTCAATAAAGGAATGTCATCTACCCCACTTCTTTCTGCTCTCAAAGAAACTAGCGGACTGATCACTCCTAATCCTCTATGACAAAGACCTAATGATGAGATTTTGAAGTTAGGTCAAAAAGAAGAGGTAGAGACAGAGACCAAGCAACCTCCTTTTGTCCCTTCCTTCATGGCTCGGTCCTGCTCGCCAGGAAGAATCTTTGATTCATGGCCAGAGATGTGACTAAATCGGAGAAAGACCTTTTGAAAATGATTATCCAAGTCCCGTGGAGCTAACTAGCAGTGACCAAGACCCATCAAGCAAACCAACCCAGTTGAACAAAGAAAAGTAGGCCTGTCAAGAAGACAAGCTCCACGCTTAAGCTCAAGCTGTATCTTTTTCCTTCCCAACCCTGCCCTTTTAGCTTTTAGGTAAGTAAGCTCCTTGCTCTTTCTCCAGAAGCTAATCCACCCCAATACAACTTGTCTAGCCTTTCACAAAGCATTCAGCCGCCCGAAAAGGAACTGCAGTGATCTTGAATAAGAATCCTACAGCGATAAATAGAATCCCCATAAAAATACCACTAGATCGAGCACCAGTGATTTCGTATCTGGTCCAAATCTTCGCTAATTGATCGAAGTGGGTAGCTCCAGTAGACCCATAGATCATGGAACAAATAGGGTGGGTAGGCCCAAGCACCACACTACACGAATTCACGTTCATTGTTGATAGCTTCCCTGTTTGCAACTTTGAGTTTGAGTCAACCCTGACAGTGTCAACTTTATCTGATAAAGAAGAGTGATCCCTATTGGAGTTCAACTCCCTGTATGGTATACCAAGACTAAGACAAAGCGAATCCTCAGGCTTATACTCATGCCTAGGCTGTACAGATGAAATATTGGACTTGCTGATACCTTTAGTATTGCGAAGAAGTGCATTGTTTTTGACAGAAGGCTCCCACGCATCCATCGGAGTATTTAGATCCCAGTTTGACCGATTATTAGCATATCCATGACTGCTAACATTATTTAAGCCATCATCACTAATTTCACGGGTAACGAGCGCATCTCTGTATAGAGACAAATTCAACAACAAAGAATCTAACTTATCAGATTTTTGGTGATTCGTTTCACTCTTTTTGGGTCCCAAAGAAGGAACGTGTGGTTCCTTAGGTTCCAATAAAAATTCAACATTTCCCGAACCAGTAGAAAGATTAGCTTTACAATTACCTTCACCTTCAACTTGTGGGCTGTCAGTTTCCTTCTTCACATTCACTACAACAGCACCCATATTGTGTCCCGGAACTCCTGATCCTGCAGATTTCTCATTTAAAAGGAAATTCACTTTATTCACTACCCCATCCGTAAAACCTAAACTATCACAACGTTTAGTCTCTTGAGGCTTGGATGCAGAAATGTCCAAATTGGTTTGCAACAAGTGGACGTTTGTATCAGTACCTTTTTCTTTCTTAGCTACTAAAACAGAATTCTTGCTCATATTAGAATCTTTATCAATAGCAGCTAAAACGGAATTCTTGGTCATCTCAGATTTACCAGGACTTACATCATTAGCAGTTAAAACAGATTTCTTGCTCATATCAGAATTACCAGATGAACCCATATCAATAGCAGCATCCAAAGATGACACTTTATCTGAGCTTTTAAAGTCTTCTCTATTTTTTGAATCATTGTCCTCGGATGCAGACGGTCGTTCTTCAGGGGACGGAGAAGGAGACCGAATTATTGGAAATTTCCTCTTTTTAATGGGAATAGCTGCAGAAGAATTACTAGACTGCTGCTGCTGCAGATGCTGCTGTGGAAGTACCACAGGCTGAAAATGAAAATGAAAATGAATTAACAAAAGAATTTAAATAAAATATATCATTAAATTAAAGTGATCTAAAATCAGATGAAAACCTCTTCGTTTCCCGGAATTGGCATGAGTCCAAACAGAGTAACACTGCAACGAAGATTAGCTATTTTAATTAAAATAAAGAAATAGAACAAGAAACCGTAAATCAAATATCTCCATCATTATGAACATCTAAAAAAAAATCAACTTCAACACTCAAAATTAATCAAGTTTAAACACAAGGGAAACCAAGGAAAAATTCAAAGATTAAACTAGAATATGCCGTGAATATACGATTCAGTTTTAAACAAAGTACAAAACGTAGCCACCAACAGCAATAACTCATTTCCCCCTAAAAAATAGACACCATAAAAATTCTAAACATCGTTAATATAGTTTATCCAAAATAGTGGATCTTTAATATCTGTCTCAGAGTAACCAAAAAAAAGTAAGAAAATTAAAATATCGTAAAGTTTCCTTCATGAATTTATAAATCTAGAACAAGAAGAATACAAAATGAAAATCGCAGATTAGCGCAGTCAGCAATTAAGACCCATAACAAAACAAATATAGCTGCTGATAATTCGATGTATCCAAGGAGAAATTACCTAAAAAAAACAGCAAAAATTACGCAAAAATCTAGAGAAGAGGAGAGGATGGTTAGCAAGGAGGATACAATGAGAAAAAGCTAGATGCCAATAGAGAGATAAAGATAGGAATGACAAAATGACCAAGGCAGAGGTAGTTTCCAAGTAGTTTCCAGATGTCTGCAAACACAAATAAATAGTAGAATATCCAAAGGATTGATTGCTTGATTATTTAGGGTTTGTCCTTCTCAAGCACTGAAAATTTTCTGCCCCAATAAATGGATTAATTTTATTTTTGGTCCACGAACTATCATGACAATCTCAATTAAGACATCCATCTTTAGTTAGAATCTTAGTCACTCCACTTGAGCTCGTAATTGAAATTAATGAATTAGCCTCGTCTAATTTTATTTTATTTTGTTGTTGGTTGTTTACCATCATAGCCTATGGTAGTGATGGTTGGTGCTATTGCTCGTTTTAATGTTTCAACGCTTAGTGTTGGAAAGAGATGTTTCTATAACGTGAGTGTTAAAATTTAAAATTAAGCCCTTGTTTGTTTCCCATTTTTCTCTACTTTCAGAATAAATAAAGCCGTTTTTGGAACCACCTAATATGATTTTTTTGACTTGCATCTCACCTTTAGTTTAGAAAAGTAAGCACAAAGGTTGGAAAATTCATTTTCATTTTGAAAAAATGTGCAGCAAACACAGGCTAAGTGCATTTACTTCTAAAATTAAAAAAAAAATCAAATACCACTAGATCCATTCTTCTAATTGAGCTAGCATCATTAGATACAACAAACAAATTTCTTCCACTTAGAAATATAAATCAAGCGTTTGCAAACATGATTCGGAGTGATATTTGAATAAAATAGTTTTGCCTAATATTTCACAACATCAACTTCTCCTAGCTCGTCACCATATGAATTAGAAATTAATTTCACGTATTGGGTCTAACAGAGTGACTGAATTTACAAATAAAATGACATTGGTGATTTGATTGTTGATAAATTGAAGATGGATGATCCAATTGATATTTTCGTGAAAGTCAGGTGACTAAAAATAAAATAAATGCTAATTTTACATTAATTTAAAGGTAGTGGACAGCGGAAGTTTCGGGGTTGCCGACAATTACGTGTTAATGGGCCTGCACGATTTTAACAACCCACCTACTTTTGACTTTGAGCAATATTATTACTATTCACTCATTTGATATTTGATAATTTTTTATTGACTCATTTATCGAATAATTATTTATTATACGTATATTATATACGGCGAATGTTATAGTGAGCGACTATAAATAACATTATTTTTTGACTTTTAGTTGATAAGTTTTATTGGTTAGAAAATTAAATGAGATTTGACATATTATAATAATAATAATGCTATAATTTGTTTAAAAAAATAAATTTCTTTAGCCCTTGTTTGAGCTACTTTTTAATGAAATTTTAGAAAAAATATATTTTGATATAGTAATTTTTTAAAGAATATAAAAGTAAGAAAAATTTTGGATTTATATACAATATTATTTTATTAAAAAATATACGATTGAAAATAAAGAAAGAGAAAAATGTATTAAATTAAAATGGAGCAAAAAAGGAATTCATTTTTATCACATTTCTCCTAATAAGTCAATTACAAACAAGATTGAGATTTATTTGTTCAAATAAGCTCATGAATTTACAAGAGATCTTGCAGTTACGACTTCAAGACGAAATTTAAAAAAAAAAAAAAAAAACTAAGAATAAAGAAGAAAAATATATCGTGCTCTAAAATTATTGTTCTTTCTAAAATAATTTTACACGTGTATTTATAGAATTTTTAATTTTAACTGTAAAATATCATTTTATGAAAGACGTACAATTAAAAATGATATTTAAAAAAAAAATTGTACTTTTTGGAAAATGAAGTCCAAACGAGGGGTAAATGATTTTTTTCGAACCAACAACTGTTGTACTACATGTACATAATTTGTTCGCATAATGATTTATATACATATGATATAGTAAAATATGATTATGTTAAAATTTGTTCAATCAAATAAAAAATAAAATGTCGGCATTCTCTTTTTGACGTACATGCCCCTGTTTGATCCCCATTATTTCCACGAAAATACTTTTTCAAATAATGTTTTGATATAATTTCAACCACACATTTTTTAATAAAATAATATTACGCATAAATCAAATTTTTTTTTATTTTATAATCACACATTTCTCATCAATACACTATTTTAAAATTCATTTTTTCTTCAAAATAGGACTCAAACAAAGGCTATAAATCATTACGTAACTTCCTATATATAATTATCATTATTCAACTACCTTTGCGTGTAAAAGAAAAAGAAAAAGAGAGAAAGCAACAAATAATTGAGGTAGTGGGGTACGATAAGAATTATTCCATATTCTTATATTCACGTAACGACAATTGCACTTTGGTTTTTTCCAGGAAGAATACTCTCACGCGTGTCGACGCGATATTATTATTTTTTTCATATTGCTTTTGAATGGGTCAATTATTACATATAGCTTTCTTTCTCTTACTAAGCCACGTTTGGCCCCATTTTAGTAATGAAAATGAGAGAAGTAGTGTTTTGTTGAAAAAATAAGTAGTTGAAAAAGAAAAAAAAAATTTCGATTTACGTGTAATATTATTTTATGGAAGATTGTGTGGTTGAAAATAAGAAAGAAAAAAAAAGAATATAATAGAATGTAATTTATTGGGGGCTAAACTGGGGCTGAATTATTAGAGCCTGTTTGGGAGTAATTTTGAGAATTGATTTTTTGATAGTTAGGAGAAAAGCGGGGTCCACCTGTGAGAGAAGAAGTCAAATATGACAACTGAAATAGTAAAATAACGGTCAAAAAATCAATTTTTTAGGTAAAAAAATGGTTGGAATAATAAAATAAAGACAAAAAATTACTCCCAAACAGGCTGTTAATATAAAAATAAAGATGAGGATAAGGATAAGGACAAGGATGCTAGTGGATCGATGTAAGTAGTCCCATTGGGTGCCGACCAGGATGAACTTGGCCCAGTACGAAGTTGGGCTACATTGTCGAGTCCAGCTGCATTGCTTCACGAGCTTTTTTATTTTTTAAAGAAAAATTTATAGAAAATATAACTCTTATTTGATAATCATTCTTTTAAAAAAAAAAAAAATTCTTATACTCATTTTTAACTACATAGTCTCATAATAAAATCCAAATTTTTTCCCTATTTTTAACCACAGACCCTCCAAAAATTCACTATTGAAAAAAATCCAGCACAAAAAATGATTGTCGAACATGGGCACGGTAAAATTAAATGCAAAAGAAAAAAGGAAATTCATGTACGTCAGCTTGTAAAGCATACAACTTTACTTTTTGATATTGACGCGTCCTATGGAATCCTTAGCAATGGAATGGCTAAGCTGTCTAATGGCTGTCTCATGACAAATATCTCAAGGGCACTTGTGTAAATTACTTTTCAATGCATTTCTGCCTTTTACCGCCTATAAAGTTTAAGAGCTTATTTGGTAGGAATTTTAATAATTGATTTTTTAAAAGATAAAATGAGTCCTACCTGTGAGAAAAAAAATTCAAAAATAACGGATGAAATAATAAAATAACGGTCAAAAAATTGATTTTAATTGACTTTTAGGTTCCATTTGCTCTCTATTAATTTTCATTCCATTACATTTCATTTTTCTCTCTTATTTTCAACCACACAATCTTTCATAGAATAATATTACACGTAAATCGAAAATTTTTCCTTCTTTTCCAACCACTCATTTTAAAAAAAAAATACTATTCTACTCATTTTCATTTTGACAGAATGGGGGCCAAACGGGTACTTAATATATAACAAGCAAGCACTAACTGTGTGAGAGAACTAAGCAAATTTTGAAGTTGGACTAGATTGGAGTGTATTAAATTTTATTTTTTATTTTTTTTCCAACCAATTTTATGAAGTTAAAAATGGTCAATTTGGTGGAGCAATTTTATTTTTTAAAAAGGTCAAATTTTAAAGTGTTCTATAAACCAAATCTCTTTAAATTAAGTTATGCCCTCGCTTCCTTCTAACCCACCCTGACAAGGGATGGCAAAAATTTCCAACCAATTTGCCCTCGCTTATCCAACTCCAATTGTTTTAATTTACAATCGTGCTACAGAGTCCGAGTTTAAATCCCGGGCTCCAATCCAGGGCCGAGGTGTTTTCACCTCGGTCGTTGATCTTCTGCACTTGGGAGGGCCGCCATCAAAATTGGGGACAGAGCCTCTGCCGCCTCTGCCCCTGGAACAAAATTTAATCTCGAGTTCTTCAGCATTTTCCTTTAATTTATTTCTCATTTTTATATTTTTTGATCATATTTAAAAACAAATAATTAATTCAACGAAAAGATAAAATAAAGATATTTTTATTCCGTCTTTCCTTCCAAAAAACCATTTTAATTCCCTTCCCACCAACCCTACTCTATTGCCATCCGTACCCACACCACATTTCTTCTCCAATTGACGCTCACTTGGACCAAATTTTTTGTCCAAAAAACTTGTAGTTCCTTTGAAATTATGCCATTATCCAATGAAGTCAATATCAACAATTAATTTTAATTAGAAATCCACAACTTTTCAATCACATATTTTTATCAACTTTAATCAAAATATACTGAAAATATGGAGCCTGTTTAGGAGTGCTTTTGAGAATTGATTTTTTAACTGTTAGGCGAAAAGTGGGGTCCACCTGTGAGAGAATAAGTCAAATATGACGGTTGGAATAGTGAAAAAACGATCAAAAAATCAATTTTTTGAAGAAAAAATCACTCTCAAACGGGTTGACGATTTAATCTCCTCCAAACAAGAGATATGTTTACAATGCTATCATCTTTCCATGTTCAATAGTTGACATGATACATCTATATATAGCTCTTGTTTGAACTCCATTTAAAAACAAAAAGAAAAGGGGGCTTTCAATGGACCATATCATACGTAGTTTTTTTATTTGTATTTGGGATACCGCCAGTTTAGGGTGCTCTGACTAAGATGACTCTTCCTCTTACTGGTCATCATACCAATTAGTAGAGCGAGGGAATGGGAAAAGCACATAGGAGTACGCGAAGGGAAGAGAGTTGAGACTTAGACGAATCAAAGCCAACGAGGTTGCGAACGGTACGAAAGAGTTGGAGAGCCTATTGACGGTGACTTTGATTGCTATTCCGCTCTCTAAGTATCGAAAGG